ATGTTGCTGCTGATCTGTTTCATGTTGCTGCTGATCTGTTTCATGTTTCTGCTGATCTGTTTCAATGTTGCTGCTGATCTGTTTCATGTTGCTGCTGATCTGTTTCATGTTGCTGCTGATCTGTTTCATGTTGCTGCTGATCTGTTTCATGTTGCTGTGTTCATGCGTGCTCATCTGCTCACACAGACTCATGTTCGTGCTGCTGTTCGGCGTATTGTTTTTATTCTATTAGTGCTTAGTGTGTTTTTAGTTAAATGTCTTTATTTGCTGGATACTGTTTATCGTGGAGTTTGAAGATTTATAACGGGTTTAAAAGGTTTTACACATCATTGCACTTGATACATGTGGGTTGGATGGACGTCCTTGGCCACTCGTAGACTCCACCATTGGCACATTTTTATTTACAAGCCGTACTAGAACGTCTTCCTTCGTAGTTGTTGGCCTTTACAAAGACAAAGTCCTCCGGAGTTTCGGGGCCTAAAGTCCGAACTGAACTTGGAAATAACATAGCATCCAGTAACATCATTAAGAACCTTCAGTGAAGCAGTGGTTGTGCTGTGTTGTTTCCTGAAACCAGATTGATGTGGAGGTAAGATGTTAAATGAGTCCAGGTCATTTTTGATTTGAGAGTTTATCAGTTTTTCTAGAACCTTGGCTAAAATGCAGAGTTTAGAGATTGGTCCATAGTTGTTCAGTAAGGGGGGGGGGGGTCTCCTCCCTTCAGCAAAGAAGAACAAAGGCTGTTTTCAAGTGTCTGGATGGAGTTTGGTCTCGTGGACCAGTTGAAGATGTGGGTCACAGGGACTGTGATGATATGAGCAGCCAGCCTTAAGAAGTAAGCTGCCGGAGAGCTGAGGGAGAACGTCTCTCTGAGTCCGTCCAAAACATCCAGCACCTGGTAGCAATCAGAGTTGCCGTGGCAACGCCACAGCCTGCGTTTCAACAGAGGAGGTCGGAGTCCGATCCGGTTTCTTTACGGTCAGAACCAATCAGGGTTGAGCTTTCACCATGTCGTGAGAACAACCACCACCGCTGGGACTCAAGTTTACTCATGGTTTCTCCTAGTTTTCATTTTCAGTGCTGGTTCTGTCCGCTGCTGTCCAACTCAACGTTTGGACCAGAACCGCAGCAGCCTCCAGCAGCTGCCAGGTCCCAGAACTGATGTGGACCTCAGACTGCTGAGGACTTCCTCCTGCTTCGGCTGCATCGCCTGATCAGAACCATTCCAGAGCCGGGTCGGACAGCAGAACCTCCTCTGGGCTGGTGTTGGTTCAGCCCTGCAGTGAACAGCAGACGTACGAGGAGCTGAACGAGGCAGTTTATTTGTTGTTTCTCATGTTTTTATGGCGCATGATGATAAAAAAACACTCAGCTGAAAGAGAAGAGCTGCTCCATTCGTCACAAACAGACACCGGTGGTTCAGTGGTGCTCACAACGTGCACACCAACAACAAAATGCTCAAACCTGCTTCTGATCCGGGCGTCGGGGAACAATCAGGAAAACGTCCTCGGCTGGCCTCCATGTGTCTCAGCTGAAGGGACATGTGGGTCAGGCTGACAGAACTACCAAAAACCTTCACTGCTAAGCTTAAATATCAGAAATGTTTTTAACTCCCTGCTTTGTCTGAGTCACATTTACTGAAGCAGTTTGTCCTGACTGAAGCAGTTTGTTGAAGCAGTTTGTCCTGACTGAATCAGTTAGTCTTGACTGAATCAGTTTGTCTTGACTGAATCAATTCGTCTTGACTGAATCAGTTCATCTTGACTGAAACATTTTGTCTTGACTGAAACATTTTGTCATGACTGAAGCAGTTTGTTTTGACTGAAGCAGTTTGTTTTGACTGAAGCAGTTCGTCTTGACTGAAACATTTTGACTTGACTGAA